CCCTAAGAATAGTGATAGTGTGTTTTCCTTTTCATAGTTGGTGAAATAGATTTGATAACTTTTTATCTAGAATTTTTTGTAGTCTGCTCATGAAGATCATGGCTTCTTGTAATGTTTTAGTCTGCTTTTGATATCAGGCTAAACTACCCTCCTAAAAGGAGTTAGAAAGAACTCCTACCTTTCAATTCTAGAAGAGTGTATGGATTTGTTATTATTTATTTTACTGATTTCCATTTCTTTATTGATATGTTCTGTTTGGTAAAATATTATTCTCATACTTACTTTAGTTCTTTAGACATGGTTTTCAAGGAACATATTTCTTTAGTTACTTGAATTGCTTAATGGACTAGAAGTCTTTCCATTGTAAACTCAATGGCTGGGCTCCCTGAGGGACAGCTCCTGTTAATTGTGTGTTCTCCTCCTGTGCAGAGGCTGTGCATGCTTTTGTAAGCTTTTATTGAAAATGTCATTTTATAGAATATAATGTAACAACTCTGGAAATCAAATTTTCCATCCCCATGGTTTGTTGTGGTGACAACATATTGTAGTTATTAGTCTAATGTTTGTCTACTGTTATCAGCCACTCAGACTGCCATGAAGTTGTCATTGTTTCCGTGACTCCCAGGTGCAAAGGCAAGTTCTAAGGTTGTTCAAATACAGACAGCACTGCACGTGGTGTCCTCCAGTGAACTACCAGACAGGTCAAATGGGATTAAGGCTTTGAAAGAGCTCCGGCTATGCTCTTTTCCCTTCCGTATTGGCCAGGCCACTGGCTGGCACTATAAAATCAGGCTGTTCAGAGCTAGAGAGTGGAGATGGAACTAGAGCAAGTGTAAAAAGCCAGAGTTTCACTGTTTTTACTGTTTCTACCATTTTGCCTGAATACACATTGCTTTTTGTCTAATTTTCAGAATTTTGAAATTTTGATTCTTACCATTTTGGCCAGTTTTAACATCTAGTTTAGAATAGAGAACTTTCAGAAGTCCTTATTCCATCATTTTCACTGATGTCACGCTTTCTTGAAATCTTTATTAGATTCACCAATAAAGCTATCTGGGCCTAGAATTTTCATTTTTGGAATATTTGTAACTACAAATTCAATTTATTTAAATAATAAACAGCTGTTAAAGTTGTTTCTTTCTATATACACTTTGATAGCTTGAATACTTGCATCTTTCAAGAAACTAGTCCAGGTGGTTGAATTTTTGTTTTGTAATCAAAGTAACATTGTTTTCTAGCACTGCATGTGATTCAGAGGTACAGGCTCACATCTCCTCAGATGTATGTCACCATACCCCACATACCACCAATCCACAGTTCTCCACCATAACCCATAAACCAACCGCCCCCCTCTCCCCCGCAGTAACCTTCATTCTAGGGTTTGTAAATGGTTTTATTCTGTCCGACCCATTGTTTTGTTTTTCTGTATTTCACATACAGGTAAAACCATATGATATTTGTCTTTTCCCTTCTTTCTTATTTCACTTATTATCCTGATATTTCTTTCCACATTGTTGCCACCACGTGTTGTTTCTGGTCTTTTTTTATACAGGCCATTTTCACAGTGCGAGCTGTTATATCTTGGTTTTGATTTGAGTTTCCCTGATAATAAAAAATGTAAATATTTTTTCATGTGCCTGTTGGCCATCCGTATGCCTTCTTTGGGAAAGTCTATTTAGCTCTTCTGACCATTTTTTGATTGGATTATTTGTTGTGTTGTGTTGTGTTGTGTTGTGTTGTGTTGTGTGAGTTCTTTGTACCTCGTTCCATATCAGCACTGAATCCCAGAAGAAAAGCTTTCAGTCTCACTACTGAGTCTGTTAACTGTGTGTATCTCATATATGGCCTTTATAATGTAGAGGTGTGGTGTGTTCCATCGATCCACAGTTTTTGTAGGGGTTTTATCATAAATGGATGTTGAATATTAACAGTGCTTTTTCTGCATCTATTGCTATGATCATATGATTTTTATATTTTCTTTTGTTGATGTACTTAATTGCATTCATCAGTTTTCAAACACCTAATAATATTTGAATCTGTGAAATAAGTCCCTCCAATTTACTGACATGAAGTTATTTATAATACTTTTTTCATTATCTTTTTATATTAATAAAATCTGTAATAATGTTTCCTCTCCAATTGGTGACGCTGATAATTTCCCCCAGTCTAGTTACTGGTTGATCAATTTTATTGGCTGTCTCAGAAAGACAGCTTTTATTTTTATTGATTTCTTTTTATGTTTATGTGTCTTTTATTACATTGATTTTCACTCTAATTTTTATTATTGCTGGTTATTTTAGGTTTAATTTTTTCTTCTTGTCAAAGTTTTTTTAAAGTTCAAACTGGTCATTGATTTCATACTTCTCTCATAATAATACAAACATATATTAGTACTTTAAGTTTCCCACTAAGTACTGCTTTATAGCATTTCACAGATTTTGATATGTTGTGATTTACTACTCATCTCATTCAAAACATTTTTTAATTTTCCTTTGGACTTCTTTGAGTCATAGGCCATTTGGAAATGGATTATTTAATTTCTAATGTTTAGGGATTTTTTTCTTAGAAACATTTCTGTTATTGATTTCTAATTTAATACCATTGTGATCAGAGATCACACATTACATGATATGAATCCTGTTGAATTTATTGAAATTTTGTAATCTTTGCTTTGTTTTCTCTTGGTTAAAGTTTTTGGTATCCTTGAAAGAAATGTGTATTATGTACTTGACTATTAGAGTATTCTTTTTATAAATAAATTAGGTCACATGAGCCAGTACTATTGTTTACCTGTGTTACCTTGTTGATATTTATCTACCTGCATAAGTAATTGAAAGTGAGTTATTGAAACCTACAACTAATACACTTTTTTTTTCTCCCTGCAGTTCAATTAGATTAGATTTTATATCAGGTGTTTGAAGCTCTTTATTAGGTGTTCATATAACTAGAATTACTATGTCCTCTTGAAGGATTGACTTCCTTATTATTGAATAACACTTTTCCCAGTAATATTCTTTGTTCTGAAATCTAATTTGTTTAATATTAATAAAGTCACTCAACTTTCTTTTAACAACGTTAGAATGGTTTGTGTTCAGGAATTTTTCTTTCAAGTTGAACATTGCATTATAACATTTTATAAGGTTCAGGTGTGAATCATTAAAAGAAATCAATGTTTATATATAGTACAATGTAAAGACAGAAATAAGTTAAAATTTCAAAATGTGTGGGCCTCCCTGGTGGCAGAGGGGTTAAGGACACAGCACTATCAAGCTGTGACCAACCACTGTGGCATGAATTCAATCCCTGGCCAGGGAGCTGACCCACACGGCACAGTACCCCTCTGCTGTCTCACCTACTGCTCCCCCCTCAGCAGTGGGCAAGATAGATTTGCTTGTTTTGCTCCCCATTCTATCATCCCCGCACACCTCTGGCTGGCCTATACCCCAGTTCTAATATGCGTAAATAAATCTTTAAAAAAAAAAAAAAACTTGGTGTGATTTTTTTTTTTGTAGGCAGCATATAGTTGAACTCATGCTTTTTTAAAGTACAATATAATAACCTCTGCCTTTCAATTAGGGTAGACATTTACATTTATATTTAATGTGATTATGAACGAGGTTGAGTTTTAGTCTATGATGATGCATTTTTCAGTTTTTTATCTCATCAATTCTTTATTTCCTTTTTCTGCTTTCTTTGTATATTATCCTTATCAATTTTATTTTGTTTCTTAAATTAACCGTAATTCTGTTTTACTATTTTAGTGATTTCTTTGTTGTTTATCATATAGATCCTATCACATGGTGTATCTTCAAGAGTTTTTAAATAGTAAATTTTCCTCCTATTCTACATTGATAACAATTTAAATTTGAATTCATTTAAAAACATTTTTTAGTAACCCCTCTAATTTTTTCAGCACTTTGTTAAACATAACTCAGCTTTTTCTTTCTCACTCATCATTCTACTCTTTCTAAATATACTTTATTTGTTCTTTCATCTTTGTAATTTTTGGCCTTTACTTTCTCAGTTATTTTAACTTTATTTTACTTAATACCATATCTCCCTATGCCCATCTTGTCAGGTGGGCATGACAACGTCACAGACTAGGTGGCTCAAACAGAAATTAATTTTTTGCAGTTCTGGAGGCTGCTAGTTCAAAATCAAGTTCCAGTAGGGTTGATTTCTGGTGAGACACCACCCTCCCTGCTTTGCAGGTGACCGCTTCTCACTGTGTCCTCGTGTGACCTTTGTTCTCTGACAATAAGAAGAAAAAGTTATCTAGTGCTCCTTCTTCTTATAAAGTATACCAGCTCTGTAGATCAGGACCTCACCCTTACAGCCCCACTTAACCCCAAGTGCCCTGTTTCCCAGTGTGTCCACTTAGAGGTTAGGGCTTCAGCTTGTGAATTTCAGGAGAACACAATTCAGTCCACAACAGTCTCTGTTCAGTACTACTTACTAGTCTGGCGTTGAAAATCTATCATTTTTTCAAGCTCTATTTTGATGTCTCTAACCATTCCCAGGCATCCTTGAAAGGAGACATTATCTTTCATTCTTCAGTTTTCTTTTTTCTCATTTTTTTTTGTATTTTCTTTCTCCTGATATAATGTGTACTGCTATACACTATCCACAAAATATTTGTTTTATACTTTACTACTACTATTGAACCATTTGAAAATCTGTATTCCTCCCTCTACACATGTGCATGCGCTCCTCCATCTCATTTGATAGAACTTTCTTGTTTCTCCCAGGCATCTTAATACTATTCTGTGGCAAGTATATTCTTGGTCCTTTGTTAGCTGATATTTGTGTCTCTTTATTATTTGAGCAGCACTCTGTCTCTCACCCCCATGTGTAATCCCTCTTTTAGTCTGCTAAGTGTTTTTCTCTCAGATCCTTCCCTTTCATTTATCTCCTGTTTCCATTCCCACTGCCACTTCCTTAGAGCAGAGCCTCATCTGAGCTGTTGCTATTTCGCCAACTCTTACCTTTCCCTCTTGTAGCTCTGAAAGGAGTAAAGAACAAACCCTTGAGGACCGAGAACACATAATGGATATGCAGGTGAAGAAGAATGAGCAAACATACTGAAAATCACATTAACAGAGGTAAGAGGAAAGTCAGGCTTAAGTTGTGTCATGAAGTTCATGGGGGAAAATTTAGGAATGCTATAACCAACAATAACAGCTGCCGAAGACAAGTGAAAGGACTGAGAAAATGCCTTTGGAGTTTGTAACCAAGAGGCCATTTCAACTGTCAGGAGGATGGTCTTAATTGAGAATCGTGGAAGCATGATCAGTCACCAGCCCAAAGGGGAAAGACTAGCGGATGGACTTGCTTCTCCCAGAAGCTGGAGTAAAACTGTACTCATGAAACTTAAATAGTATTTTAAACCAATAATTTTTTAAAAGAGGTATAGAAACAAAAAGTGAGGGGCACTTTTTCTATTGAAACAGGCAAGTGGAATTAAAACTATTTGAGTGGTGATGCCTTCTGGTGGGGAGTGGAGTGCTTACGGGCAGTGGAGTGCTCGGTTTTCTCTGTTAGAAGTTGACTTATCTGAGGAAAGTGAAATATTAACAGTCCCCCCCCCACTTTCTAGAAACTAAATTCAATTTTAAAATATTTTAGATTGTATTTATAAAAAAATAAAATCTAATTATACAGAAAGCAAGCAAAGATAAATAGTTATATAATTATGGTTTAAGCAATGACTTTTTAACCTCGATACTGGAATCCTAAAATATTTTGAAACAAATTTCTAGATTTAAATATTAGACTTCTAAAATGATATATATCAAACAAAACACCACCATATGGGAAACCTAATAACAAAGCCTGAGATGGGGAAAAATTTCACAAAATATATAACAGGTGAAATATTAATGCCTTTAACATGAAAGGAATTGTTAATGAGGGGGGGAAATACACCAATAGAAAAAGATGTGCAAAGGACATTCTTAAAGAAATTCTTAAAATATATAAATAGGAATGAACCTGTGAAAAAGTGTCTGCCTTCTAATAGTCAAGGTAATAGATGAATCGAAATGAAAACAATAGGTAATGGGGAATTTTTCCTTCACAAATGACAGACTTCAGACTTATAATACCTAATGTTAATAAGGGAAAGAAGAAGTGAGTTTCCTCATATGCTGCTGATAATAATGTAAGCTTCATTTTCTGTGGAGGATAGCATGGTAAAATTTTTTAAGTTTTTAAATGGTTCATGTTCTTTGACCTTACATTTCTGCTTTCAAATATATTCAAATATATATGAAAATATTCAAGTATACATGAAGTATTTATAGGCAGAATAATATAGCTGTAAAAATCTTCTCAAAGTAGTGTTGTAAATGAAAAAAAAATTCAATTGCTATGAAAAGAATTGTTAAGTTATAAGACAGAAGAATACATTTATTTATTGCAATATAGTGTTTTTTAATAGATATGGAAAGATTTTTAAGTAAAAGATTACTATAAAGTGGCTGACATATAACAAAAATATTGAGAAGCTTATATAAAAAAAGTTAGTTATCACTGAGTAGTGAAGTTGTGAAAAATGTTTTCATCTTTGTGTTTTCGAATTTTTCTGTTCTATATATAGATAATTCACTACTTGATCACTTAAATTTATTTTTATTGAAGTAACGATGGTTTACAGTATTGTAGATGTCTTCATGTTACAGCTTTACAACTCTTCAAGTAGATGTCACTGCACTAAGAAACAATGATTGTTTCTTTTCAGGTGAAAGTAACTTTCAGAGATTTTCAAATACAGCCCATTCCTTCTGCATTTAAAGAAGCCAAGGTCTCTAAGTCACAGCTAAAAAGTGCCTGAACTAGGACTTAATCTATGGGCTCCAAGTTTCAGGTCATATCTGTCCACATACTAGGATTTGCTGCATTCCTCAGCTGCCAGATCCGCAAGTGGCTTATAGCTCCTTTGGTCAGAAAATATAGGGAAGCCTCGGGGTGCTGATGGAAGAGCCAGGAGGCAGCAGATGCTGATAGAAGCCTTGAGGCTTCCCGCATGCCCAGTAGCGTCAGATTTCTCTGGTGCCTGGTTCATTTCCTTCTGTATCCTCCATTAAGGCTCTTAAGTTGGCTTGTCTTTATTGAGGGCAGTTCCATCTTCCATAGCTCCATTCCTTACTGCAGTAGGAGAAATGTAACTTTCTGTGGCCCTCATCCCCTTCCTCAACAGTAGCTGACTCTGGACCATTGGCACCCACCATCCCACCTGCCCCGCCCGTCGATAATCCAACTGTGGTTCCCTCCAGATCCAGTTTCTGCATCCTGCGGACTAGTTGAGTCCCTGAATGCCAAGCCCATGGTCAGGGAAGAAAACAAGCAGCTTATAAGTGGACCCTGCATTCCAAGGGCCAACTGTACTACGCTGTAGTTAAGGCCTCTGGGACACACTAGTATGGGGCATGAGTGTTGCTGCCTCCTCAGCACCTGGAAACTAAGGCAAATTAAATTGCCTCAAGGATGAGGGTGATGTCAGATAAAAATACCTTCATGCTATTTTCCTCTTGTAATTTGTATAAATGATATTTTCTATTATGAAGTTATGACTCCAAATAGATGGTAAGTTGTTCTGGGCTGAGGTGCTCACATGCTCACATTTTTTCTGAATGTCTGAGCCTGGTGCCTGCCATAGAGTTAACCTCCAGGACACCCTGAGTTCACCGAATTTCTTGAGGGCTAGGGAACCTTATTTTCACATGTGACACAGACAAACACAAACCTAGTTTCATATTCATTTTCAAACTCTTGTTATGCAGATTTTCCTTTCTCTTCTCAGAAGCTTTGCCTTTTAAATGCCCCTTTCATGCTTTCATCCTCTGATAGCTGCCGGGGAGACAGCTCTGAGAAAGACTGGGTTTAAATTGTTCTGTGTTTGAGGAGATGGCACCTCCTCCTTCTGGGCACAAATTCTCTCTCAGCTGTGCCATTTGCTGCTCCGCCAGCAGAGGTGTGGAAGCAAATCCTCTTCCTCCTGTTCTTTCCTTCGCTCCCATTCACAGCAGTCTTTGGTGTTCCCTGTCCGGTGCTTCTTCCTCCTCTTAGTCGAATTCATTCCCCTGAAAGAGTTCTGTCCTGCCTACTTCAGCTTTTTTACTGAAATGTCTCTAGGCCCCTCTCCCAGGCTCTTCTGCACGTGCGGGAGGGCCCCCCTTACCCACTTCCAGCTGTTCTCCCTTTTGCCTGTTCCCTTTTCTGTTTTTCTTCTTCTTTTCCTCTACCGCGATCACAAACTCCTGCTCCCACTCTGTTTCTCCTGCTGTCCTCTAAGATCCCTTTCTCCTCCTTGCTGCCTTTTGAAGGTGGGGGTACCTCGTGCCCAGCATCCATTTGAGGCTTTACTGTTTTCCACTTTTATTGGACTCTTATTTGGGGCAAGTTTTCTCTATTCATGTGTGTGCACACAGGCACAGAAGCGACACCCGGTGAATGTGTGCCTGACACCTCGGATCTGTGCCACTTCAGATTCTACTTCAGCTGCTCCCAGAAGCTTCACTGGAAACATGGTTTGGGGCTTTTGTATATAGAACCAACTTGTCTGTGGTGACTCTCTGTAACAAATGTAAAATCAGCAAACACAGAATGACAAAACATTTCTTTTCCTTCCAGTTAAAAATGTGTTTGCTTGTGCAACTATTTATTTAAGATTGGGCACAGCTGTTCCCTACCCTTCCATGGCACCCTGAGCAAATGCTTAACTCATCCTGTCTTGCCATAGTGCTTCAGCCTTTACTCTTCTCAGGAGAATCAATGAAACTGCCACCACCTTAACAGGAGCCATCATTCTTCTTAGTTTTTCCCTCCCTTCCCTAGTGCCAGCATTCTTAAGATGCACTTTGTTTACTAAGAGTAACCAAAGGAGAAGCCCTTTCTGTTTAGAGGAGAGAACATTTTTGTGTAAATCCTGATACGCATCCCTGGTATATGAATAATTGCATGAAAAAACATCAGACTCCACGCCACAGGCTGGCAGCCTCTAGTTGTTGTGTCTTATTACATAGTCCCTTAGGGAGCAATGTTCTTATTTCACCTGCATATTGGCTCTTCATTTTTTATTAATGGTGTAATTTGTTTTATTCCACTGCTATCAATACATCTAGATGCATAGTTAACCGTCACATATCTTTCTCAATCAAAATGACGCACCCCATTATTTTGGACTGATTTGAAAAAAATATATAATAACCCACTTATAAAAGAGACAGAGCCACAGGCTAAATGAAAGAATGCAGTTTAATAAAATGGTCTATTTCCTTTCTGGCACTAACCCTGAAGGATTATCCCTGCGTTTTGTATTGTTTCCCCAATAACTGAAGAATTGTATGGATTCTAATTGGCTTTAAGTTACCAGAATTTACAGTACTTAATGTTTGTATTTTATAAGTGTATTTTTTTGTTGTTGTCATTAACTTGTCAATGCAATAGAAAATTTTAAGCAATTAGAGAAGATACTAAAAAAATGTAAGTACTAAGTTTTAGAGACAAAATAGTAGAAAATTTATATTTTGGTCTTATTTGGTGGAATGTGTGTGTGTGTTAAACCATGTGTTTTATTACCTGTGTATGCCTGAGCTTGCTAAGATTTGGTTGTGACCAGAAGATACTGTTTACATTCATTTAATATATTTTTATGTTTTCTTTTCCTACTAAAGCATTGAAGAATGAAGATTCAGAAGTAAAATGACTGTTTAAATCAAATCAAATTTCTCTTCAAAGTTCAGAATCTTGAAACAGTAAGGGGGAAAGGAAGGATTCCCTATTTGTGTCCTTATGAAAGAATCTAGAAAAATCTAAAGTAAGGTGGTCTTTTGAACTTAATTGTTATAAACCTTTGTGACTACTGTTGGTCCAAGAATTTGGTACTTTTATTTACTAGTAATTACATCAAAATTACATTACCACTATTGGAAAATCAATAAAGAAAAAACCGTAATTGTTATCAGCAAATGTGAAGGTAAAGTGTTTACATCGTTTTCTGCTAAATAATATTATTGTAACTGTAATTAAGTTTATATGCATAATATTTTGCTCAGAAAATGAAATATATGCTTTTGAAATTTATTGGGTAGTGAGAATGGTCCCAGGAATAAAAACTTTAAAAGAGCACAATTTGCTTTTTAGAATTAAAATTTCTATTTCGAATGAATCCTATATGTTATATGATACACATAAACTAAGAGTGGTTTGTGGATAGACCAACAACGGTGTTCCAAATGACTTTTTAGAAAAAAGCATTTCCTATTGAAGCATATTAGTAGTTTATATGTCAATACTGTTTAATATTTATATTTGTTTCTTAAATTATTACATTGCCTATTTTTTAAAGCGTGATGTAATTTTCATATATGCACTTATACATCTGTCAATAAAATATCAACTCCAAGAAGGTCAAGACTAATAGAAAATTAGAAAACTTATTTACCAAAGCAGACAATTGACTCCATTAAAATCAGAAGTGAGAAAAAGCATGCTGGGCATTGGGGTGTAAATTTTGCCCAGATGTATATCCGATGTGAAAAATCTTCTAGTAAAAATATGTTTGGCTCTTATCCCTGCACATGTTGTAGAGGCATGAGAACTCATAAACATGCCCCTGCTCTGTGGACTCTTGAGAAAAGGGGGGCCTCTTGAGTGGTGAGTGGCACCGAGACAGCCACAGCCTCCAGAGGAGCCAGGGAGGCTGCGTGCAGGTGCTGTCTGTGCTTCAGGTACAGCTGGGCTCCAGTCCCCCTGGTATAAGCTTTTTTTCTCTCTTGTGAATGCCCTTGGTGATTAAAAATAAAAATAAGCATATCTGTGCAGTTTCAGCTGACTTTAGAGATGTGTGGTGTTTCTCTCATTTTGGTTTTAATCAGAGAGAATTTCAACAAGTTGCAGAAAGATTTTAAATCAAGAAAAGTGAAATAGTAACATCCAGGGAGGGAAGCATTTGTTGAGATCTCAGTCTTCATATGAACAGTGAAAGGTTATTTTATATTGCAACTACTAAAGAGAAAAATAACAGTTGAAACAAATACTACAAAAAGGTGGTTTACCTCAGAGCTCAGTCCTTTCCTCTCGTCCTTGCCAAAACAAGACTCAGGCTACATTAACTAACAGAGCAATAAAGTGACCTTACCACACACACTCCCGGAGGTGTGCTGGGCTCTGAGCATCACAGGGCCCTCCGCTTCATAAGTTCAAATTACATTCAAGCAGGGGAATCGTGTGTGTTTACACAGATTGCACTGGGAGGGTTATGATATTGCACATTTTCTTAGCACAAAATTAGTTTTCTTTGTTTTACTTCATTCTGAATTTTGTCCTATTTTATGAAGTCTGTTTTTTCCACACAGAAACAGTTTAACGCTACCTATTTAAAGCCATTCATAGAAATTGAAATTCCGATTTTTGATTCTACCCATCTTGAAGATTAAAGTTCCTTCAGGGTCAAAATAATATAGTAAAATAGAATTTTCAATGCTAAGATTAGAATCAAGTTTTTGAAAGATTTGAAACATGAAATATTCTACACTATGAATGTTTAAAAATGAATCTTTTAAGTGAAATAAGTGTTTCTAAATGCTGAAGACTTGTTACTTGCAAAAACCTACATAAGTTCCTTTCCATAAAAGTGAATACTTAACCTTCATTTTATTTTTTACTTTTATTGAAAATATTTTCTGTTTAGGAATTCAGCAAGGCTATCTCTGGGGGAATAACTTTGCATTTTATATCTGTATATTTTTATGTATCTTTAGTCATACATTTAACTCACGACTTTTCTTTTTTGGTTTTAACACTGACTTTATATAGACAGGGAGAGAGAGAGAGATTTTACATCATTCTTCCTTTCTGTACAGTATTTGCTTTCTCCTCTCAGGTGTAGTCCCTGTAAAATTCCCACCACCGATTCACTGTGCGCCATCATCATAGTCCCTTGTGCTCTTCCCTCCCCTGTTTCATCCCTCTGCCTCCCCCTCCCTTGCAGAATGTCTCCGATTTACAGTTGCCTGTTAATTTTTTTTTTTTTTTACTATTTTTCTCCTGATCCCTAATTTGGTTTCCCTCCTTTAAGTGAAACCCTCCAATATTTTTCTTCTTCCTTCTGGCTTTCACTGAACATAATATAATCCCTGTAGCTCCACGTTCCTGCAAATGGCATGAGTTTATCATGTTTGATTGCTGATTAACTCTGAAATTTTTTTAAATGGAAAGTTCTAGAAACTTCAATAAAAATCTGTGACTTTGTACATGACTCCATTTATTCTTCACTTCAAACCCATGAAGTAGATAAAATCTTCCCTACCCTTCAAATAAGGAAACCAAGACTTTGAAGCTTTAGTAACTTGTCCCAATGTACATGGCCAGTAAATGTCAGTGCCGGCTGGAAGGAGGTTTGTCAGACTACATGGAGATGTCTCTAAAGCACTGAGTCTCAGCCAGCAATGCATAGAGTAGGAAACTCCAGCACACATAGTAGCAACTAAGTAATTGCATATATCTGCAATAACATGCAGGGACTAGAAACATCTAATATGTCTTTACTGTAACAGTGACCTAAGTAAAATCAATTAGTCTACTTTAATGAACTTTTTAAAAATATATATAATTATTTTGGTAAACCTTTATTCCATACTACATACCATACAGAAGTAGATTCTGTGAAATCAAACAACACATGTACAGTAACATTATTCAAGTAACAGAAAAGGCACCATTCCAGTCGGTGGAAGAGACGATGAAAACATTATGATTCACATCAGTCAGAAGTCTCTGTTGACTGGCAAACTCAATCTATGGTTGGACCCAATTATCTGTGGGAGAATTGGATGTCAGCCTCATTTAGAATTAACAATGGACCAAGGAGGCTAAAGCAGACTGCTACTCTCTGCAGAGAGCCAGGAAGCAAGGTCGGTAATGAGGTACTTCATTCATCATATCCTTCTGCTCTAATTATTAAAGTGAATAGAAAATACTTTAAGTTAAGGCAGGAACTGAGTAGCACAAAAACATTTGTTTTGTAATCACAAAGAATGCTTTTTTGGTCTAATGATTTCCTTGGAATTTATATCAAGCATATGTTGTAAGCACCTTGTTTTCTAAAATTGTTCATCTAACATCTAAGACTTCAAATTCTGATTATGGCTGAGTTATTTTTATTGTCTCAAAAAGTTGAGACTAATGCTGCCTAAGAATCCAAAATCGATGTCTAGGGGATCATCAGTGTCTATGAACTATTTGTAATAGTCCACCTCTCTCACTTGTGGTGGAATGTTCCAACTATACAGCATCATTTCTCAAAGTCCTGAGCAATCTATTTTCCACATATTCTAGTTTGTTTCTTTTTAAATCAGTGTTTGATCCTTGTCTAGAGTTGTGGAAATAGGATAATGGAAAAGGTGGGAATCTTGGTTTCTGCAACACTTATGTAAGTTACACATGTTATATAAGTTATATGTGAGTTATATGCTGTTTGTCAAAGGGTGGTTTTTATCTGCATGGAGATGATTTGCTTAATGAAGATAAAAAATAGAGTGCAAAATGAAAAAAAAAAAAAGCAAGAAGGTGAGAAAGTAACTTGCTGCCTGAGCAAAAATGAGCAACTGAAACTTCAAAAAGCAGTCATGAGACCAAGAAACAGCTTCCCTGGAGAAAAGCCTTGTAGCTTCAATTCACTTTTTCAGTTTTAAACTGAGAATCAGTAGTTAATTTTTTTAGTAAATATGCTGCTTAATTTTTTCTAAACTACAGTGTTTCGGTTTAAATGAAAGACGGCTAAACACAGTCACGGCTTTAGCATCCCTGCCTGTTAGAAGCTGGTGTACAGAAGTAGCTGTAGATGCTACTTTTAGCAACTAAATATTTCCATAGTGGTAAAGAAATGTCAGTAAAATCTATGCACTTTAAGAATATCAAATTCTTATTATACTTATCATGCGTGCAGGCAGAGTACATAATAAACTAGTCTATAGCAGCTGTAAATTTCTGAGGATTTATCTAACCACAAATACATTGAAATGGGGAAATGGGGCTATATTAAACTATGCAAGATGCTGCTGGAGCGCTGCCACTTCTGCAACATCCTGTAATTAATTTATCATGACAGGTCTGGCAAACTGAAACATCCAATACACTTGCGACAGACTGTTATACTGTAGTTGTAGGGGACCTGCAGTCACAAAAAGTATGAGTAGACTTTCCTTTCAGAATGTGAACACAGGACTGTTATACGTGGAGTGTCCAATAACCAAGGACAGACTTGTCCCTTTTCAATTTCAAAATAAGAAAACCTAAAATACAGGAAAGATTCCAGGTTGAGATAATGGGGTTAGACAGTTACCTCACATTTGTCGTGTTTCTCAGAAGAGACAGATAAGGCCATGAAACAGTCTCATCGCCCCTTCCCGTGTGTGTGCTAGACACTAGATGCCATGGGGGTTCAGCTGGGAGAGTGTGGGGGTCAGTTGTGGTAGTCTTTGTCAGTTGATCATCAGTCTAAAAGAATGACCCTTGATGTGCGCAGTTTGACTAGATGCTACTGAGGTTCATGGTAAGGGTAGGTAGTTGTGAACAAGGTTCTCTGCTGGGGAGTAGAGAACATAACTCTAAAAAGTGAACTCTACCTTGTGTCCATGTCCACAGCCTCACCCATCTCCATTGAAAGTTCAGAGTAACCCAGACTACAGGACCACTGAAGGCCTGGGAATCGTGGATCTGAAATTTGCAGTGAGTGGGGATAGGGCCCAAGCGACAGAGCCCAAGACGGGCCCTCCTCAGTGGAAACAGACTAGAGCACAGGTGAGGTCGAGATAGCAGCCCCGTTACCAAAGGCTCACTGAAAACATTTTCTATAGTGATGATCTTTCTCTTTAACCTTACTATTAAAAATGAATCCTATCTCAGAGAACACGAGAAGCTTCTTGCCTAAGCCCAAGTTTTAAAGAAAAAAAACAACCAGTAAGACTGTAATTCAATAACCAAACCAAGGGGGAAATGGACAAGCAGCAACATAGGAAAGCTGCTCTTTCCATCTGTCTCCTCCACCTGAAACTCTCCCCTCAGAGCTCTTCTTGTGCGTGAGACTTGGAAGGAGGGTGCGGAGTAAGTGGGCAGGGGTTTTCTTTCACAGAGTTAAGTAATCAGGCCAAGTTCACAGAAACCAGTGCAGTATCCTGCCTCCAACTGCTGCTTCTCCTACTCCATCTGCTCTTTATGAGGTAACATTCTCACTTAAAACTCTGTTATTAGACCTCAATTCTGAAAAAGTCCAAAATTTTTTCTCTCTCATACACAACTAAAAGTAAATAATACTGAGCATGGTCTGCATTCAGATAAATTCATCTTTAAAACTAGGTTATTTCAAGGGACAGATTTGCATGAGTGAGGGCTGAAAGTAGGTGGAAAAAAAAAGTCAACAAGATGGTATCAGTCCAGAGAAATGCCTTTTTATGCAAGCATGGAGAGAGAGAGAGAGAGGCTTTTTTTTTTTTTGTAATGTATTAACCGGTTACAGACTTACATATCAATGGCTTCAGTGACTTACTACTTTTCTAAATATATTTTTCAACTTCAGTTTCATTGCTTTTAAAACTGTCATCTTTCTTGAAAAAAAGTGTGTGTGTTTGCAAGCACACACCCACTCACTTATTCAACAGGTAGCCATTGTTAGCAAAAATTTGATCTGAGCAGGAAAGACAGTGGAACCGAAGTCTCATCTCTCAGCACTGCTTCTCAACGTTTTCAAGTTTCATGGTCACTCTACAGTGTTTTCCAGAAGCCGCCACACACATTACCAAATATGAACTTTATAACGCCCTGGCTAGAAAAGACATTACTCTCATTTTCCAAATCCCACGAAGGGGTGAAATAACTTACCCAATAAACTATGGATTAGCCATCTTCTGTCCTTGCCTCCTGGTAAGACTCCTTATTGACAACTAAAAATGTAGATGTAAATTATAAGGAAAACCAATATATGTCTCCTGTGCAGGAGACAACTATAAATTATTGACTCATTGAGACGTGTATTTAATAGTCTTCTGTGGTCAATTAGAAGAAAGTATATTTTTGCTACTGAACTATATTTAAATATAGTTCTTAAATGTAAGAACTTAATATGTGAAGTTATAACAAACCAAAGCAGTAAAAAAAAAAGTTTTAATTATGTTTTGTAGAAAGAAGAGGAAGGAAGGAGCATAAAGGGCCAGTCCCTTTCCCAAAACCTTTCCATGAACCAAATAAAACAAGGTCACTTAACGCATTGTATAGTTGTGCCAAGCGGTTATTGTTTAAGTTACCAAATAAATTACATTTTCTCTTAAAGGACAGTCATTTCCCATTTGACCTAAACTGTTAGACCAACTGATGAACTCAGATATAGCAGAATATTCATGAATTGCAAACCTGACCACTTCACACCTGCTTAGAACCTGACTGGTGTCCTCATCCACGAACACTGAATCCACTGTATTTTTCCTGTTTGACTCAGAATAACACCTGTAAGTCAAGTCTCATGCTCTCTGTTACACGAAACACTTGAATGAAATTCCACCGTTTTGGAAGTGACAGCAAAAGTAAGAAATTCGGTTAATATCTGAAAACCCACAAAACTGAGAAGCAAGCAAAAAAACCCATGTTCTGCCCCTGCTGTTTGTCCCATGTCCAGCTTCTTGGAGAGGGTTCCGTCACAACCAGCAGCACTCACTGCCTCCCTCGAGAGCCATAGTTCCTTCGAGCCCGGGGTGGTTCTCTTCACTTGAAAATAACTTTCCCTCCAAAGGCCATGATGAATATGGCCAATAAGGTGTCATCTTAGTCATCACT